TGTCATAGGTTTCTGGACATAGGAACATTGAAAGGAATGAGAAAGCAGGCGATTTAGCCCCATGGTGCTTCTGTAGATATCTTACTAAAGATATCTTTTTTAAGCTCGCCAATAACAAATTAAAAACACTTAGGTCATGTGCAACTTTCCAGTTAATATGACGTGCTTGCAATAAAACTAGATCTTAGGAACTGATTAAGAGATATTCTATGATATTTGCTGCAGTTCTCTCTGGTGATTGGTGCCTGAGAACCCTTGCAGAGAAACTGCACATTTCCTATAATAGTCAGTGCAGAAGATGTGGAATACTGTAGCGAAAAATATGTCAATAAGCAAATATTTCGCGAAACCTGGCTTTGGAATCTAGAGGAAATAGGTTTTTAGAGCAATACTTTTTTGATAACTTGTTCATTGGTGAAGACGACAGATCCTTTAACTTGACATTTGTATTATGGGTTATTTTGAGGTGTAAGAATATTAATCTTTCGAACTATTTGTTAAAACTAGTGAATAATGATATGAGGAGTCAAACTTGCATCCTTGACTACATGGGTGACGTTGCTTGCATATTTCCGTTTTCTTGATACTCAACATGGAGAATTTCCTAACAACATCTGCAAATAAAAAAAGTTTTGAAAATGCGTTACACTTCAAAAGATATAATAAGATCTCTCAGCTAATTTTAATAATTGGCGTTAGAGAAGTTTACCGAATCGAAAACATGGCCTTACCACTTAATAATACTCGAAGTCCATTTTATTGAACTAATAATCAAAACTAGCAACTAGGTTTGGATCATAAGATGTATTCAGAATAAATTTGAAGAATAAGAAAAGTTTTTGTTATTGTGTTTATTATTATGGAATAATTTTTAATAAAAATAATTACAATTATTATAAAATAACAATAAATTAATAAACAGAAATTAATTAACACACAATTTAGTTTATTCTTAATAAGAAATTATTTTTAAAAAGAAGTGGTCATTACCAAAACAGGAAGAACGATTTTGCTTTTGAATATAAATAAATAAATTCTGTTAGTGGTTCTTAATATTAAAAAATATGTTATATGTGTTATTGTATATATAACAATAAGAATTAAAATATTAGTTTTCTATGACACTATCTGATGATTTTAACAAAATTTGAAGTTTAAACTTCTATAAAAATATATTCGTATCGACAATATGAAGTTATATATGAGTACTTTTCTAATCTATGAGAACTTTAAACTCTTATAACTCTTTTGCTACTTATTGAAAAATGAATATATGTTTTTTATGTTTCTTTAAGCTTGTGAACTTATTATTATTAATTGTATATAAATAAATTTTCATATATAATTACAGTAAAATTAAATAAGTAAAAATACAGTCATTTTTTTATTGCCTTCTTCACTTCTATCTGCGATAACCAAAATATATGTTCGAGTTTTTCCATAAAATGTTTCCTTTCAATAGTCAAATGTTTTATATATATTTCAGGTCTCATATATTTTAATTTCCAGAAAAGTCAATAAGTAATAATACAACAACTTTTATTATTATTTGATAAATATTTAATGTTTAATTTCAACGAAATCGGTTCAAAAACAATGGTAACAATGATAACTATCACGCATTATGCAGCATAATTTATGCTCAAACGTACGAATTTGCGTTACTCATACGCTATGTTGACCGTCTCAGAAGGTTACGTTACTCATACGCCAGGGGGTATTTTTAGATATGTAGTATTACAAACAATATTTTATGTTTTCAACCCAACAAAAGAAGTTAGTATTAGTAATTTTTAATTAGTAAAACTAAAATGCCTTCAAAAGTTATATATCTGTTGTATCTCTTTTTTTTTGATATGAATTAATAAGATTTTTACAACTTCAAAGTCTTGTTTATCATTTGTTTGTGATTAATTTTATATTTTATTATATTATTTATTTTATATTTATTATTATTATTGTTATTATTTATATTTTTATGTTAATTTATTTTAATAATTTATTTTACTTCATACATACATTCTAATGTATGTATTTTAACATATTAGTTGTGTTTAAGTTAACCAACAATATAGGATGTTAATGAAGTAGGTTGTTTTAGGTTTGTGCTATTCACGGTGACTAGCCATCACAGAATCCGGTATACTGCTGATGTTGCATTATACCGAAGGCATGGACATGTATCCAATGTTGCGGATATATGTGCATGATGGTGACAAATCTCAGATTTTTTCGAAGGTTTGAGATTTGAGCACACACAAATGCTTCTAGTCTATTTGATAGAATGGATTTTTACGACTTGAAAGTCTTGTTTATCACTTGTTTGTAATTTGTTTTTATATCTTGTTATATGATAATTTCGCAGTACTTTAGTAAGAATAACGCTATATTCGTATTTTTCGTTCCATAGTTTAAGTGATATCTTCCTCATTTTGTAGTACTGCTACTGCTTCCAGTTATGCTTCAATGTTGTGCCAACAAACCATATTAACGCCACACTAACAAATGATTATGTAGACAAGCTATATTTTTTTTCCATATTTGAGTAAACATTTAAAATTGTTGAGATTAAAAATTTTAGAATTCAGAATAAATATTTTGGTATCTACTTGAAACTACTTCGTTTCGTATACTCATTTTTTTTATCATAATCCATTGCTGCTGCAACATTACTCCCATATATAAATAAATTCATTAATTTTAGCTTGAAAGAAGTTCTAAGTACTAATGATGAAAGTAAAGTTAAGTAAACGATGATATAAATACAAATAGCCAAAGATAAAGTCACAATAACAACAAGCAACGACGACACCAATAAGAAGAAGAAGAGTAAGAAGCGCAATAGAAACAGTAGCGACAACTTCATTATGCGTGATTTAGGAAGATTTTTCTTTAGCGAAACAAATTCTAGATACTTTCGTTGTATATGCTTGCGATGTTGTTGTGTTGTTGTATTGTTGTAAAAGTGCTTGCTGTTGCCGTCCTCATTTCAGTTCTCACTGTCATTGTCGTTTGTCGTTGTCGTTGTCGTTTGCCGTTTGCCGTTTGCGTTTGTTGCTATCGTTGCTATCGTTGTCATTGTCGTTTGCTACAATTCTGTTAGCCACAAGCAGCAAACAGTAAGGATATTAATTTAAACGCATTTAACTAAATTATCATTTTAAATTGCCGTACAACGTCGCACCAAATACTCTCCTAGCGAAATAAATGCTTCTAATCTATGCGAGAGACGTGTACGCCGCTGCGTTTAATCCACGCAATCAAGTGCTGCCATGTTCTATAGCTCTGCAAACATGTTTCGTACGCAAAACGTGGGGTCGTTTTAAAATTCGGCAAACCAATTTTTTTAAAAAACAATTTTTTCCCCAGTACAAAGATATCTATATTCTTAGAGTGTAGAACTAGAATATTAAGAGTTTGCCTGCTTTTCAGTAACTGTTTTGATTTTGAACATGCCGCCGTTGCTGTAGTTTAAATAGGAAGATTAATGTCCTGACAGAGTAGAGTGCTTAAAATCGTGTAAAATTGAAGGAATTATGATGTATACATACATACATACATACATATACTAATACAATTATATACTTACAAACATACGCAACTGAGCCTCTAGCTTATGTAGGATTATAGGTACAATACAAGAAAGTAACTGTTTATATAATTTATATATATAAGAACTAATACTTGTTGGAGGTTTCTGAAACAATCGCAGAAAAAGTCAATATTTATTTTAGCTAATAGCAAGGAAATATAGACTGATTTATAGTTCCTCTTAAATAGAAATTTCAAAAAGCATGTAGTAACACTAATTAATATATGTATTTTTAAATTAATTGTAATGTATAGTACCAACTTAAATATAATTAAATTCATTTTCTTGATTCTTCTTCTTCTTGAGTTAGTTCTATTACTCACTTTTACTCTATAATGACTGGGGGGCTTATCTCTACCCCACATTAGGCTTTAACTAGGTTAAAAAAAAAAACATATCATTTCTTTGTCTTTTATTTGATGACGGACCTTAAATCAGCATATCTTCCTGAGAGTCCAGAAGTGGACTTGAGGATTGTTAGGGCGGGGTTAATTAGCGTATCAACTTTAGTGATATATTTTTTCACTGAATCAATCCTAAGATCTCTATGTATATCTGTTGATCTAATATACCATGGAATCTTAAACAGTTTTCTTAAAGCCAGGTTTTGAGCTATAAAGCAGTTTGATATAACAATTTGAATTATAACACAGCTTTTTTTTAATAATAAAAATGACAATTTTTATGATCTAAAAGTTTTTAGAATATTTAATTAAGATCGTCAGTTAACATGTAGTTCAGGTTGTCAGTACAAGCTTGGACAATGCTAGCACCCACAAAACGCTTTCCTTACATCAAGAAATGCATTCTTCTTAAACTGCATGCCCGATGTATTGCTAAATACAGGATTAATACAGGGAACAGTTGACTTAACAGATGAGTGTGATTGCTAAAATGGAATGGAAGTTTCAAACGTTCAAGTTATCGATACTGTTGTCGGTACTAAACAGTTTTGAAGGGATAATATCATTCTATTTTTCTAGAATTGAAACATCAACATTAATGTGTTAATTAATGTTTAATTAATATTAATGTTAATAAGGAAGAAACGTTATATTTCTCTACAGGTCTGTAAATTAAGTAAAAATAAGTGAAAGTTCTGTACCTATATATACATTACGTGAGAAAAGTAGTAATTGCCAAATGGTATATATATATATATATATTTTATTCCTTTTGGTATATCATTTTATTATATTCTGTAGTAAAGTAAATTCAGGACTGTAATTATTTATAAAATGTGTTTGTTGGCTTTTAGCTTGTAACAGTAACTCAACAGTTCATCTTATAATGTAAAGTGAAATTAATGCAAAATTAAAAACATTCAAATACATTTATAAATAATTTTTAAGAATTAAATCAAATGCGGTTACGTCCTGATAAGAATAATACGTCAATTGCAGAAACCTCAGCCAAAAAATATTGGTTTTTTTTGCTTAATATTTTCAAGGAAAAGTTTCGACCATAATCTCAGCTTTTCATCATGATCAGTGGAACACAGCAATTGTACTATTTCCTTAAGTCTTTCTTGTGTGTCGTGTTGTTCCTCGTCTTCTGATTCTTCACTTGTATCCTCAATTTCGAAAAACTCTTCTTCTTCTACATAGTTTTTCTGATTCATGTGGAGTATATAGATTGGTAATGTTTCTCTTCTGAAATACTCAATTGCATCTATAACCGCACCACATACAATGCCTAACACTGAAGCTACAACAAAAGAAGCAACTATAAATATTGCATACGTGATCCAGAAAGAAAAGTAAAACTCCTGTTGCAATATATTATCAATTGTTTTGAATGTTTGTGATAGTTTAAGGAAATATGAATAAGCTTTCATGCGTTGAGCCATTCCTGTTAACTTCCAACTAGTAACGGGCTGATAATGTTTCCATATCTCCTTTCTAATAAAATTTATGACGGATTCATCTTTCAGATTGCCACAATATTCACGAAACTCGCCGTGATTAATGTGAAATATTGCTGGTAGTGCAACTCCCCGAAAACGATAGCTTAGAAGCGGGGAGAGTGTTACATCAATACGTCCTATATTGACACCATAATTTGCAGCTACAGCATTAACTTTAACCCAATTAGGTGAGAATTTTGTACAGGACTTACACCAGGATGCGTAAAACTCAACCAGCCATTGATCCTGCAATATTGATTGCCAATTCGTGGCATTCAATTCAATATCTTCAACTATTTCAAGGGCTGGATTATTACTCAAAGGCAATACACGGTTTGTGTTGTCAATGTCTTGAAATCCCACTTGACAGATGGCGATACAGGCAACAATAGCAAGCAACCAATAATAAGTGCGGATCATTGTTTCTGTTTGTTTTTTTATCTAAAATTATAAGACCAAAAGGCACAGAATATATATATAAAATTAAATTTTATAAAAACAGCAAATTTTGAAATTTTTTTTTCCTATAACAAAAGAATTTTGTATTTTTTAAGTTAATCGAATTTAAAGAATATAATAAAAATTTAGATGAATATCTATTGATAATTCCATGTCTACTATGTGAGCAAGTTGGGAGTGTAAGCTAATTTCATATATTTCAGATAGAAATCAAAAATATAAATTGAAAAAATTTTTATTTTTCAAAACCATATAGTTTTCATTATTATTGAATACCAAAATTTATTTCCTAAACTTTTTATAAGTCTTATTAATTTTTTAAGTGTTCTGCTGAGAGACGTTTCAGAACTGCTTGCAAAATGTTGCGCATTTTTCAGGACGATGATAAACCACGATATCCGTACGGTTTTTGGGATTTTGATGAGGAGCTGATCGAATATCTATTTTATCCTATCTATGAGATCATACAGTCTGGCGTAAAGTACGTTAGAACTGGTGGTTACGACTATAGAAGAACCGTAGATCAAGAAGAGGAAATGATATTCCGTTTGCACTTTGCACCTCGTACTTCGCTGAAGCACCGTAACGTCATAATCTTGCAAGACATTAAAAATGTTGCCTTATTTCTGGCACCACCTATTTTGTTGAATGAAGAAATGATTGAATATATATACACCAAAACTTTTGATCGTTTTTTACATGCTTTAATTGTGTATTTTGAATACTATCTAAAAATGTTGGAATTTGTGCTTGTTCGACGAGATGAGACTACAGGCTTAACACCTAAAATACAAAGCGATCATACAATGGACATGAAATATTCATTTGCATCACATTTGTCGCAATATCGTATGATGTTGGCACGGGAATATGCTGAAATGTTACGCGGTGAAAATGAGGAAGTGAAACCCTATTACTATTCAACGCCAATTGTGAATATTGCCAAAACACGTTGGGAACGAGAATTTCATGAAATTCTACTTTCCTATGCAACACAAGTCGTTTGGATTGCAATGCATCGACGAGCATTTGATGATATCGAATCAGAAATGGAACGCCTTTTTCGTTCAGAACATTTTAGATTAAGACCTGAAGTGGCACAGAGGTTCACTGTAACAGAGGAGTGTGTACTGTTTGGTGAACATTATAAACGTATGAATTTTCGCTTTCAAGCATCTGGACTTATACAGGAACTTGAGCACGTTAGAAAACAAGATGCTCCCATCCTTTGGATAGGTAAGCAAAAATACAATGGTGATGATAAACGCATTTTGCAGCTTGAATTGGAATATCTTGTACCACCCAGTCAACTTTTTTTTATTGATATTGTTCATGGGATTTTGGGACATCCAAAAAGATTTTATGACACTATGTTGAAACTAGATTGGGCGGTTCTGCGCGATGAAGCATATACAAACGATTATGATCCATATCATCTTATGCGACAACCAGCGATACAGATACCGAAATTTGGTACTGAAGAGATGCGCAAACATTGTAAGAAATTTTATGCAGAGTTTGAAATTGAAAGTGAAACTGAAACAGTGACATCGGATGATATTTTCAAATGGGTGAATCGTGATATTTTGATTGACGTATGCAAAAGACATGGTGTCATTGTAAACGCAATGGAAAGAGCACGACGTGAAGTGGAATCTACTTCATATGGACCGTCACCAGAAGAATTGGTTCAAACGTTCATGGACACATGTAATCGGGTAGAAAAAAGTGATAAAGAGTTCTTAGCGGAGTACTATAATTAAGGCATGAAAATATATTTTTACATCATTTTCATAATGTTTAAAAATAACTTATACATTTATATACAGTTTTATAATAAAATATTTTGTATTTTTTTATAAAAAATTTCTTTTTTATTGGCAAACATATTTTGGAGGTTGCTAAGCCACTTAATCTACCATATTTTTAACCAGAGTACAAGCGAATAGTTACGCTTGCACATAGGTGCTACTATGGACTGAGTAGAAAATTGAAAGTCAAACACCAATGAACAAAAGTAATGTTGCCTGCTTCCATGTCCACGAAAAGCAAAGACTTACTTTTGCCAACTAGTGTTGGACCTGTGGGGCACTCTAACAGGTTGATCTGCCTGACTGGTATAACAGTGTACGAAATAGAGAGGTGAATGCTTAGTAGAGGCTAAGACGGATATACGATTTTATATATTAGTTAATTAATTACATCGAATTTATTTCAAGTAAATGAAAATTATTTTAAAATTTTAAAATTATTAAAATTATTAAAATTATTTAATATTAAGAACAAAAACTGTATATTATGTTGAGGTTGAGGTGTTGAGTTAGTGCACTTGAGCACTATTACTCTCTATTAACTGCGAGGTTACCTCAAAACCCTTGACTGGATTATTGTTTATCAATTCATTAGACTAAGCAATAACTGACCTCAGATCTGCATACCTCCCTAAGGAGCCTGTAACCATTCAGAAATTCGATAACGCGGTGTCGGTTTGCGTAAATAATTTCAGTGCTCTATCCTTTATGTATTTTTATATTGATTATAATTCAATCTTGATGTTCCTGAGGATGTCATTCGTCCTAATGTACCATGTTACCTTGAAAAGTCTTCTCAGAGCCTGGCTTTGTGTAATTTCTAGCTGGTGAATAGTAGTGTTTCAGGCCTACACATCCATATAGAAGTGACGGATGAGTTATTTGGTTATATATATGAGCTTTCTATTCTTAACATTGAGATTTTCATTTTTGAATAGCGGTTGGAAGTGATGAATAATTTTGGTACAGTTAATTCCTTTCAGTTGAACATGTTTAAAATATATGCCAATGAATAACAATTTGAAAATGTGTTAAAAATATCAAATAAATAAGATTTTTATTTCATATTTTAGAAATAAATGTAATTCTTTTCAAATTCTAATTATATTTAATCGCTCAGTTTTATTATTTTTACTGAGTTTCTGCTTATCCTTGCAGTTATTCTTGCATTGCACTAAATTTTGATAAAATTTTGACGAGCAAAAAGTTTCAGTGCTAAGTTTCGCAGCTCATAAATGGAAGTTTTGAATAATTTCGGTGTGTCCGAGCAAGGAAAAAATTATTTCTCATCATAAACACAACAGCACTGTTATGCTATGTTATGCTATGTTATGTTATGTTATGTTCTTGTCATAGCCAAAACGTCAACTTGTGGCATCTACAAGTGTAACATACTGACAACCAATGACAACAGCATCAACAAACACTAACGACACCAACAACGAAATAACAGCAACAATTACAACAAAAACTAATGACAGCACGTGTTGCTCACTCACATGCATACAAATTTGTGAAGTTCTGGTGTCGTTTTTTTCTTGGCATCGTTAAAAACTTCGGCGGCAAAATTACCACAAAAAAGCAAAATACCAACAAATAAAAGGAGAACAACGTTTTTAGACGAAAAAATGTAAGTTTAATGAGCTTTTAATAAAATCCACACACATACACATACATACACACATTAATAAACTAGCTCAGGAATAGACACTCTGACTCGAAGCCATTATTACATACATCACAGCTTGCGAAACAAAACAGAAAAACCAGAAAAAACAGAAAAAACGAAACAACAAAACAATGAAACACATACATACACACACACACACACATATATATATATATATATATAAGTAGAGCTCAGCCAGTCGAACGAACGCATCAAATGCGTACTAAACGAACGCACTTTTGAGTGCGTTTGAGCGGAAAACTTATTTTCGTCACGGAAATTAAATTTACTCACTTTGATGAGTGAAGCTTTTAGACATGATTTTGAATATGAATAGCACATAACGGGGAAGAAGCGTCGGAAGTGCTTTTGGCTCTTTTAGAGGTTCATATACAGGGTATCGGCTTGAGTTGCAGAGCATGTTGTTCAGCCTCAGCACTTGGCCATTTTGTGTTGGGCGAAATTATTTGCTTAAACGTGTTTAATGACCAGGATTTGTCGTGCGTATTTAAACACGCAACATATTATGAATTTCATTTCATCATTTAAGCAGTATTCGCTTCAAAAAAGTTCTTCCTGGACTTAAACGTAGGTGTTTAAGTATTTGAACGAATTCGAATTACAATTTACTAATAGACTAATCACTTATTTATATATATATGGTATAGAATATAAATACATATAAATATATTTTGGGTGACGGTTTTAAAATAAAAACTCATAACTAAAGTAAATGGCTCATTGGGTTACGTTGGGTTACGATATGAAAATAATCGTTTTAAAATGCGGTCCAGTTCAACGGTAACCATAATACAGACTATCAAATAGAATTCCATTTAAAAATAAATTTCATTTGTCTAACTGTTTCTAGATTCAGCGCTAGCATTTGATAAAGTGTGACTTGAAGGACTATTATTTAGAATAACCCACTACCTTCGGAAAGACTTTCATAAACTTCTGAAATCCTACGTGACTCACCGAAAATATAAGAATTAGACACAAATTTGGTAGATCCTAGTTCATGTGTTAGAAGGGAGCTAAAGTTGATGCAAAGTTTTTCGGGACTGATTGGACAGACAAATAGCAACAAAACTTATTCTACTATTATATGTTATTGCACACTTATCAAATGTCTTTGTATGTATTATTGTAAGCATTATTGTTGAAGAAGATGCATAGACTATGTTTTTTAATACCATATTTACTCATTGAAATGAAAATAATATATGCAATGGATTTTCTAATAACAATAATTTAATCTCGTCATACGTTTGGATCGATCGAACTTCAAGTATGTATCCATGTCTTGAAGATATCTTCGATGATGGATCGATTTATTTTTCACTGGGAGTTATCTTAATCGAACAGAATTGTTGGTCTTATCGGTGTGCTTTTTAGAATACTTTCACTACGCATATTTGATAGAATTTTCTAACAATAAACAGCTGTACTAAATATTTTTTGAACAAGCAGTTTTTATTAGATCGGACCAGATTAGATAAGATTATACTATTTGAAAATTTACTGAGTAAATAATGTATGCTAAAATGGAATCGTCAAGGTTTTGATCGTCACCTTGATATACATGATAATGTATAGAATAATGATTGATAACGGATTATAACAGTGACGACGCATGTCTTATCAGGAAGAGTGTGCGGCCCTTCTATAATGTTGTTATTATATAAAATAAATTGAAACAGATCAAATGTTTTAATAACAATAACTATATTACATTAGGTAACAATATATTCACAATATAACATTTAACAAAATAATATCTTAAATAAATTAAATTAATTAATTTATTTATTTTATCAATATGGAATAAACACAATTTTACACATACTTCTTATAACATCAAACCAATTTTTTTCAAACAAAAGAGTTTGTACTTAAAATCATACGTATCAATGCAGTGCTCAAACAAAATCGAACACACTTGCGCAACGTATGAATGTGCAGCCACCTTTACCGCACACTAAGCGGAGAGAAGATAATTTAATAGAAATGTGTGCTGCAGATTTTAAGGCACAACTAAATGCTTCGGCAAATCAACATGTTGCATTCATATGCATGCAGTTCATATTCGAATAGAACAGAATAATAACTTTTACATACATTTCGCACTATATAAATCTGTTATTCTCATATTGCAAACCAGAGCACACGCACATTATTTTGTTCATTTTTCTGTTACGCATAACTAACAACAGAAATTTGTGAATATATTTGCAATGTATGAATGTGCGGCCAAATTTTCCGCACAACTAATAACGAAAAAAATTCATGCTGGCTATTGCTAAAAAGGGAAAGACAAAACATAATAGAAATGTTCTGCGATTTGAGCTGCAAACATATAAGCACAACTAACAACTATGTGTTTCAATAGACAATTATATGTTATTGGTTATGATAAAACTTTATTTCTCAGCAATATATGGTATATATATGTACATTAAGACCGAAAAGTTTTCGGAAATTCTCATTTAAAATTCGCGCGCTGTATATTTTTCGATATTTTAAGTTTATGTAGTTTGGCAGCACTGTCCTTAATTACTATGCCAAAAATGAGCGCGATCTGTCAGACAGTTCGTTTACGGCAGCTGTTGAAACCAGTTCACCTCAGTAGGGCGTTGCGAAAAAAACAATGGAAAAAAATATTGAACAAAGAGTTTGCATCAAATTTTGTGTTTCGAACGAAATTTCGTGTGCAGAATCGTTGCGAATGCTACAAAAGGCTTATGGGGAATCAGTTTTATCGAAAACTCAAGTTTATGAGTGGTACAAAGCCTTCCAGGACGGTCGTACGACCGTCGAAGACATTTCGCAACGCACTACTGAGGTGAACTGGTTTCAACAGCTGCCGTAAACGAACTGTCTGACAGATCGAGCTCATTTTTGGCATAGTAATTAAGGACAGTGCTGCCAAACTACATAAACT